TGTAAATTATTAGATGCTAAATGGCCTAGTTTTACTAGTCAAGATTTTTGGCACATTTAAATACTTTTTGTTTTTTTCTACATATATTCTAGAATTCATAAGTCTTAATTACGCAAAAGAGTGAAAACTTGTTTGAAACCATGTGCTTTAGGGACATCTGAATGAGTTGTATTGTTCTTAAAGTTACTCTCTTGCTGTTAAATGAAATCGAAGGTAGTATGGCTAATTTTTACAAGGTTGACCTGCAGTTGAGTCCATGCATTTAGAAATTAAAGCAGTGTGATTAAGTGCCACAGCATTTGTATGAATATTAAATTACACGGTATGACTTAGCATAAACATGTTTTTTAACTATCTACTCTACTTACACATTCACCTGTTAATGTAGCAAATTAGGCACAGCTGATGGATTTTGAAAATAGCAGCTGTCAACTTCTGTTAGAATCAATCACTGGCAAGACTGTATATATTAAATCCTATATCATGTCATGAAAATTTATTTACAGTCTAATCTCTAATAATCATAACTGTCAGCTTCTTGGCTGTTGGTAGTCTCATGACAGGACTTGGCTCTGGGATTTTACGTGTATACTAGTTTTTTTGTTGTTTTAATTTAAAACTGAATCTTACTTTGAGAAAAACTCAAGTTCTTTATGCTTTTTTAAAGAGATCTTACTACTGTCTAGAGTTAAGTGATTTAAGTGCCGTTGATTTCTGACTCATAGCGACACGGTATAGGGTTTCCAAGGAGCAGCTGGTGAATTTGAACCACCAACCTTATAGTTCAAACCAACATTGCAGTTGAGTGCTTTATCCCACAGTGCCACCCTAGAAATGGTACCTTAAGAATCTCCCATATTTGAGGCATGGAGGAATGCAGTAGTTTAAGAGAATCAAGGTCATGCTGTTAACCGTTGTACGTAGAGGGGACTGCAAACATGTAGTGAAGCAGAGTGTATGGCTTGTTGAAGGTAAAACAGGTGATCTGTTCTGTAAACTTTCAGTTCACAAAATGAAGTTGAAAAATAAATATATGCCCACGTTTTTTGAGTCTTTTCGATTTTTTTTTATTTTATTATAATTTTTTAAACAATTAGCATGGCTTGTTTTTTTAAAAAAAATACTTTGGAGCCCTGATGGACATGAACTAAGTGCAGAGCTGCTGAGCAGGCTGGCAGAGGGCAGAAGACTGGGCAGTCTATGTCCATAAAGACTACAGCCAGGAAGCTGTATGGGACAGCTGGACTCTGTTCTGTAGGGTCTCTGTGAGTCAGAAACGACTTGGGAGCACCTAACGATAGCAGCATAGGGACCAGAATTTGTATTTCTGATCTGATTGATGTTCTTGAAGGAATACTGTTGTTTTCAGTCCATGTAGCTGTTGTAGGACCTCTCTGCCTCTCCTGTTTTGAAACTGATTTGAAAGATTGTAAAGCGCCCAGGAATAGCATTGTAGTATTTCTGTTTTTGTTAAGTACCAGCAAGTCAGTTCCAACTCAAACCCGTATAGGGTTTCCAAGGAGTGGTTGGTGAGTTTGAACTGCGGACCTTGTAGTCCAGTGCTTTATCCCACAGCGCCACAGTTCCTCATTAATTTTTCCTGAACAGGTGATCCCTGTGCTTACTCACTAGCCATAGCCTTTGAAGGCTTGTTGTCCTCGTTTCGTGACCTTGCCAGGCAGTGGCAGTCTCGCCATCTCAAGCCGCTCCATAGTCGTGCATTGCCCACGGCCCTCTGCCTTGCCAGGTTGTACATACTTCAGTCATTTGGGCGCGGTCTTCCTCATACTTGATGTTGAATTTGTTCAAGACAAAGACTGTTTCTTAGTCACTGCTTCCCTTGTAACAACTAGCCTATTAAGTGGCACATAGGTCACCTTCGGTAAATATTTGTAGACCAGAATGTGTTACAGGCTCAGAAGTCAATTCCAATGAAAAGTTCTGAAAGTTTTGAATGTGATCATATTCACAAGTCATCTCCTATCAGAATTTGCAAATTCAAATAAGAAAAAAATGTACTCTCATTTTTTTCTTTTCCTTTTATTCCCACCCAATAGCTCTTCTCCACACTCCGGAAAAATTAGAAGTGAGAAGGAAGTGGTGGCAACTCTAGTAGCCCTGGTGGTGGCGCTATAATAAACTCTGGATCTCTGCATGGTTGGCAGTCCAAAGCCACTCCTTGGAGACCCTATACAGGGTTGCTATGAGTCAGAACTGACTCAATGGCACTTAACAACAAGTAAAAATCCAGAATGCTATCGAGACACAAAGGAATGTGCTGTCTGTGTCAGGGCATTCAGCAAAACTAAGCGGTTAAGGTGATTACATTTTTTTCCCTTAATTTTTCTATTGTGAATTGAATGAAGGTTAACAGACAAGATCATCAGCTTTACTTTCAACAAATCATATGTTTTGTCTCATTTCAGTGATGACAATCCCCTCTTAAGACAACATTTGTCCTGTTACATCTTATGTTTCAGAAATGAACAAAGCAAAAATATTTGATGTACACAAAACAAAAAATATATATTCATTTAAATGTCCAAAGGGCACATTTTATAAGCTAGCCTCCTGCCCGCACACACAGCCTTTCTCAAGTCCACGGGCCTAGTGGCTTCAGCTGCTCTGTCACAGCCATCGCCTCTGCCATCATCTCTGCCGTCACCATTTTTCTAGGTAGGATCCCACACGTCATTCACACTGTACGTACCATTGTGTTTTCAGAATTAGCTCACACTTCATGCTATGTATGGACAAATAAAATATGCTAGACTTTTGAACAACCAACTGCTTCAGGCATTGCTTTTTTTTATTGCACTTCATTTTTTTTTTTTTTTATTGACAGTTTATGCTTTGTACCTACAAAAAGTGTTTGTTGAATGCTATATTTGCCAGAGACTATTCTAATCATTCTCACATATCAAATCATTCAATCCTTATAAATCTGTGAGGTAGTGTCCCTTCTCCCCATTTTTCTAATGTGAAAATTGAGGCATAGGAAGTTTACTTGGACAAGATCTTACATTTACTTAGTGAAAGAGCTCTGTGTAAACCCAGTTAATCTAGTTCTAGAGATATGTTACCCTGTTGGTGGTGGTGTTATTAAGTGCCGTCAAGTCAGTTCCAACTCATAGGGACCCCATGTAGGATTTCCAAGGAGCAGCTGGTGGGTTTCAACTGCCAGCCTTGCAGTTAACAGTTCAGTGCTTATCCTACTGTGCCACACAATGACTCCTACCTCTTGTAAAACCCATATACTAGGTTTTATAACAATTAAATGTTTCATTGCCAGAAGTAGAGGGGCACAGGGAATTGGCCTTAGCTGTCTGGGGCCTAATTATGATGTAGTAGTCCTTTCAGTGACTTGATGCCAAGTAAATGTTGAGGTGCTCTAACTTGCAGGAATATTGGGCTTAATTTCTGTCTGCCTCTTTGAGTCCTAACTTAGGACATTTAATCTTCTAACTTCATGGTCTATTTTCAGGAAACATTTTTGTTTTTATAAATTCTATTCTTTCCACAGAAACTCAAGCAGAAGAATCAACAGCTGAAGCAAATTATGGATCAATTACGAAATCTCATCTGGGACATAAATGCCATGTTGGCAATGAGGAACTAAACCCATATTTAAATTTCCTGCTTTCACATGCTTTACCTTTTGTTGATGCAAGTATTTTTTTTCCCTTTGAAGAAAAGTATCTGCTTTTATTCTAGCCACTAGGATTAATTTATTACTATTTTTACATTGTGGACTTGCATTACTCATTTTTTATTATTTCTTTAAAGATAAGATTATTTGTAATAAACTGATTAGATGGCATGTTTTGGTTTCGTTTTTAAGTACTGAATATTTTTTAAAAGCAAAATTATTTAGTTTTGTAAATAAATGTTTAGATTTGATCAATGTGTATTTTGTTAATTTCATCACTTTCTTAGAACAAAATTAAAGATTTAAACATCTTTTTCAGGTGAAAATATTAAATGCAGCCAATCTGTGGTATAAACTATTTAAATTAAAGATGTAAGTTACTATTTCAGCTCAATTTTGTAAAATTTAATCTGCCTTCCAAACCTTTTATAGTAAGAAATTAGGTCATTTGTGCACTGTTATAAGTAGATGAAAATTACCTTTATCTTGCCCTTCAGATGTTTGGTTTAATTGAAATGATCTGTCTTGAAAAGGAGAGAAAGAAGTTGATTTGAAGATAACACAAATTGAAACCACCTGTTTGCTACCTGCTTTAGGTCAAGAAGCAGTCCCTCCTCTTTGTTGTTGTGCCGCTAAGTCAGTGCCGACTCATAGTGACCCTGTCTGTCTAGGGTTTTCTAGGAGCAGCCTGGAGATTAGCTGTCCACTGCCCCCGCAGAACTGTAGTCCTTTTCTGGTGGCTACTTGCCCAAATTCGTATCAGTGCATTTTGGGAACAAGTGTACTGGCTATGAATCATGATGAGCTATCTTTATATATATATATATATTTATTTATATATATATATGATAAGTACTTTTGTAGACTATAGTCCACCTAGAAGAACTGGTATCTCAGATTTTAATATAGCCTCAAATGTATGAATCATAGGTCCACAATGAGAGTGCTGGATTCTTTTCAGGAAGGGCGATGCCAGCCTGCCCCAGAAGCGTTCTGAATTTATACAAAATCTTGCTATATGACTACTCTACAAAATTATAGCAAGACTTCTATAAAAAGCAGTCCATAGAATAGTTTAGTTAAAATTTTCCTTGACTCTTACCATCTTGAGAATTCTGGATGTGCATATACACAAGGTCTAGTTATCCAGAACTTTTAATTTTTGACTCAAGATTCTGAGCCCTTATATTTTAGCGTTTAAATTCCCTTGGTTCAAGAAACATTTAAGGACTTGTCTCTGTGTATGTGCAAGTCATTAAGTGTGCGCTGAGAGTACAGAAGTAATTAAGATGTAGCCCCAGCTTGTAAGTACTGTCCCATTCAGTGGGGGAAGCCATCTTCGTGAACTTTTACAATCTAATTAAGTGTGTAAGTTCTTTCAGAGATGAACAAGAACTCCAGTTCCTTCCTCATTTTAGCTTGACAGCTGTAAATTAAATACATCTAAATGAACCCTGGAGTCCTGATATGGCACTGTGGGCTAATACATCAGACTGCAAAGTCGTTTGAACTGCAAGGTTGGTGGTTCAAACTCACCAGCTGCTTCTTGGAAACCCTATACAAGGTCGCTATGAGTTGGAATCGACTCGATGGCACTTCACAAAAAAGGAACCCTGACAGTGCTGTGATTGCTCACAGGTCGGTGGCTTGACCCCATGAAGATTGTTATTTATTACTGTTATTAAGTGCCCTCGTCTAAAGATGAGTGTCTGCCTTTAGAGAGCATTTCTAGGCTTTCCACATTTACACAAAGTCAAGTGACTCCCAGGCCAACTTTGCCTGCATAAAGTACATGGGAATTCACCAAATAACTGGCAAACAGCCATCTAGCCGTTGCTTAATTTTGCTAGTTAACCAGTTTTGGCTACATAACATCTTCAAAATCTGGAGGCTTCACTGACACTTCTTGCTCATGGGTCAACAGCTCAATTGGGACAGCTTGTCCTTGAGGCCTGGTTCGGCTTGAGACCTAGTCAGCTTGCCGCCTTCTCCCCAGATATGCACTTCTCAGGTGTGCTCAGCCTGTGGCAGGTGACAGAAGCACAAGAAGTCAAGCCATCGCATGCAGCCATCTTTACACCCTCTAGCTTGTCATTGGTCAGAGCATTTCTCCTAAGCCATCATGAGTTGACTGAGGTGGGCACTCTGCCTGTAATAAGCAGCTCTGCTCTAATACAAGGCACAGGACAGTGGTGAAATCTTGGACCCGTAATTCAAGTTACACAGTATTCCATGGTATCTAAGTCAGGAAGAAAACCTGTGTGTGTGTGAACATTTTGTGGTTTCAGTGAAAGTTTACAAATCAAATTCGTTTTTGACTCTACAGTTTACGCGCGTTTTGTGGCACTAGCTGCAGTCCTCTCAGTATAAGAACACTTTGCCCGCTTTCTCCCCGGATGCCCTGTTACCTTTCACCCATTTTTCCTGTACATTGCTGCCTTCTGAACTTTGTTTATATGTATTATGAAAAACCTCTCAACAGTTTTGTTATTTGAATTGTCACATTTAACTCTTAGATCTTTCAAGCTGCTGCAGCACTAAATTCTTGGGGGGAAATAGAAGCTGCATTCTCCGAGTCCTGCTTCTCCAGGGAAACTCTGCTAAAGGACCAGCATCTGCACGGCGACTCAGCTGTAAGCTCCCACCCGAAACAGCGAGTGTGTTCTCAGTTCTCAGACTGAGGCTGGTTTGCGTTATTATTTATGTTATAATATGCCATGGAGTCGGTTCACTCATAGCGACCCTGCACAGGGTTTCCGAGGCTGTAAATCTTTACAGGAGCAGAATGCCTCATCTTTCTCCTGTGAACAGCTGGTAGTTTCGAACTGCTGACCTTGCGGTTCGCAGACTGATTCGTAACCACTGTGCTACCAGAGCTCCTTAGTCACTTACAAATCGATAAGCAGTCAATTCTGAATGTGTTTGGGTTGAGCACATTGATCCTACTAACAGTTTCAGTTCCTTCTTGAGAGGAAACATACCACTAGAAGAACAAAGAAAGATGAATTCAACTGTAGCAAGTGCCCTTGATGAAGTGAATCTGTTTTCTTCTGCAAAATGACAGGCTTGATCTCATTCTATATTAAGATTTTGGTTGCACATGATAGAAACCCAATTCAAAAAGGCTTAAATCAAACAAGGAATTTATTAATTTCTGAATTGAGGAGAGCTCACAGAATCATGAGCTGCTGGAATCAAGACTCCAGGGATTAGAACTAGGATTCAGTGTTCCCAGGAGTCTCCACCCACACCTAATTTTTGCTTATCTCTTCTTAGCTTCAGTCTTTTATTGCAGTTAGGCTTTCTCCAAGGAGGAGAGCCAGCCTTTGGGTAGCCCACCTATGCATCTTTCCTAGACCACAGTCTCAAAGGTTGTGCTGCTTTTATAACTTCAAATTGAGAAATCCTAGCGTGGACTCTGATTAGCACAGCCTGGATCATAAAACCAAGCTTTGGACCTATTACTGTGTTAACAAGGAAATGGGTGGTTACAAACCCATCCTTTGGCCAAGAAGGGAGTCTTGGAAAAGTGCAGTTGAGCAGGGAATACTTATTACCAGAAAAAAAAAGGACCAGGGAAATTTGTGAGAACATAAAGATGGTGGCCAACGTTCACTGGAGCTCTTCCTTTTAAAGACCAGAACTGAAAGTCTTGGAACAATCAAAGCATCATTGACTATCATGGGAAAATCGCTAGTCTTAATTTCCATTTGTAGCTGTTTCTTTGCAGCTGTTTGAATTAATTGTGGTGTGATCACCATGTCAGGTCTTTCTTTGGTTAGTCTGGGCTCAAGCGCAAATTGGAAGGAGTTAAGTAAAACCTAAATCAAAGCTCCAGAATCCTGGTAATGACATTATCTTTAAAATGGTTTGGAAATAGAAGGCCCTGATCCTTCAGACATTAGATCCCTTGGCACCAGTACAAGCCAAAACGTGTGAACTGGACACTTTGATGTAGTTCCAGCTTGGGTAATACATTTTCTTTCCCTAAATTCCCACTGAATCTTAAGCGAGGAGGAGCTTGGGGCCTTAAACTAAAAGTATACTTGTCCTTAGGCTTAAAGACTTTGCTATCTGGAGTGTTAAGTTTGTTGAACATCAGTGGATGCATCCTTTTTTTTCCCCTATTCTTTTAAAACAATGTTGTTGTTGTTGTTGTTAAGTGCCGTCGAGTTGGTTTCGACCCATAGTGACCCTGAACAGGGTTTCCGAGGCTGTAAATCCTTACGGGAGCAGATTGCCTCATCTTTCTCCCGCGGAGCAGCTGGTAGTTTCGAACTGCAGACCTTGTGGTTCGCAGCCCGATTCGTAACCACTGCGCTACCAGAGTGGGTCAAATATGATTTTATGTTTTAAGTTTCAATTGAAAGATACCCTAGGTGTGTTGTTTTTTAACCTGGTAGCAATCTTTAATTTTTTTTTTTTTTTAAACGGAAAGATTATAGACTTGAACAGATTCATTGACGTTAATAACTTTTCTACTTTTATATAGGATTGACAACATACAAGGGACTCACATTTTTTTTAAGTCTTGCTAATGTTAATTTGTAAGGAGCTCTGGTAGCGTAGTGGTTACGAATCGGGCTGTGAACCATAAGGTCAGCAGTTTGAAACTACCAGCTGCTCCGCGGGAGAAAGATGAGGCTTTCTATTCCCGTAAGGATTTACACCCTCGGAAACCCTGTACAGGGTCGCTATGGGTCGGAACCGACTCGAAGGCACTTAACAACAACAACAATGTTAATTTGTAATAAAAAAAAAAAAACCTGATAGAGATACAACAAAATTGTGACATGCCATCATTTCTGTGCTTTGAGGTCTTCTATGATACTGGCTCCTAAGACCCTCACATGACGTGCGCCCCATTAGAACTACCTAAAACGGTTTTCACTTTTTCAGATGGCTCCTGTAAACTTCAGTGTGCACAAGAATCACTTGGGTGCATTTTCAAAAATGCAGATTTTAGAATT